GGGGGCGGGGGTGAGGGCGGGGGCGAGACTGGAGGCAGGGGTGGGGGCAGGGGTGGGGGCAGCGGTTGGGGCCGGGGGCGGGCGCGTGGGTGCAGGGGAGAACCGGTCGGGGGTATGAGAAGGCCACACAGGGATGGGGAAGAGTCAACTAGGGTCCGCGGGGTGTGGTTGTGTGTGTGTGTGTGTATGTGAGTTTTAAATTTTCACCACAAGTGTGTGCTAGTCAACATCCCCTAACTCTCTCTCTCATTCCATCCACATAACATCACAAACCATCCATAAACAAAAGTTGTATGTGTTATCAAGAAACCCCAAACTCTCTCTCCCATTCCATCTACAAGCCATCACAAATCATCCATAAAACAAAAAAGGTATAAACGGGCAATATAATAGAAAATGCAAGGTTCCCCACGTTTGTGTGGTTGATCGGGAAGTGCCCACACACCCGTTTCCCGTGGAAGCGGTACACTTTCCCCCCCCCCCAGAATTGGTAGAGGCACCATGGCTAATGCTCAGATCACAAGTCATGATCTGCGCCAACGCTTACCGGACTAACCCGAACATCTTTGTGCAAACACTACCCTGACTCTAATGTTAAGGATGTCCCGGGCACTGGCGGGGTCCATGCATATGCAGTCATCCCCCATCTGTGCCTCATCCACAGACTCTATGGCCCTTTCCCTAAGATCCAATATTCCACCCTCCCTATCCTAAGCATCATGCCTTCCTGCCCCAGGCTCCCCGAGAATCCACAGTCCCAACTAATTCCCCCAATGAGAATTCTCAAGGACCCCAACCTGGATGAAGCACCACCCGCAGGCATCGTGAGATACCTATGGGATGAGAAGTACCCAGTACCTATCCCATACTAACACCCAGTGTGTGCGTAGGGTTATCCCCCCAAGATGGCCCCTAAGAAGTGGGGTAAGTTTGCTCTGTGTGGGTGCCATAGTGACGGGAAACATACTAGCTGTACCCAGACTCGACCATGGCACCCCCACAGACTAGTACATACTGGCGAGACTGACAGATGGGAGGGTCCCAGTGGCCACGCAGAGTTCAACAGTTTTGACAGTTTTTGGTTATCTATAGTCTAGGCAGTAAACCCTCCACCTTTAATCTACCCTAACCTATCCCCATGGTGGACCCAAGATGAGACCCTGATCCTCAGACCCCCTAAGACCAAGCACCACTCAAGCAGCCCTCCCTATGGCCCTATCCAGCATACTACAACCATGGACCTAGACCCCTTGGGCGGTGCGCATGCAGTGTCTCTATAAATCTTACCATCATCCCAAGGGGGCGACAGCCCAACAATTAAACAATTTCACCTCTTTAACACGCAACAAGAATCAAATAGAACCATTTCGAACTGTGTTTAGCTGGGGTTTCTTTGGAGCAACAGCTCCACTTTTACTATGCCTCACACGTACAAGCCTGCCCACGTTGATTGTGGTTGCTGCCCGCATCCCCATGTGCCTTAACGGCCCACTAGCATGTGTTTGCGTGTTTTGAATTTCCACCGCAACAGCTCCTATTCCACCAAGATGAGCAGATCCAAAATAAAAGCATATTCAACCCTATTACAGACAATGAGAGCCCTTGAGTTGAGACAATCCAACAATGAGACAGTTTTTCAACTTCATCGCAAGCAACATGGAGTACAGTAGAGGCATCTAAACCCCTTTCTTAATTGTGTTCACGTTTGCTTTCTTCGGGGTACCCCTTTCATTTGTTCTTGAAGCTCCCCCTTTACCGTGCCTCTCATGCACAAGGCTCGCCACATTTATTGTGGTTGAGCGCGAGCTGCCCACGTCCCCGTGTGCCATAACAGCACGCTTGCGCACTATGAAAGGAGGCAGAGCAAAGGCGGAGGTATATTCCTCTTCATTTCTTCTCAGATCTTCAACTTATATTTTGGCTGTTCTCTTAATGATGTTCATTCATCTATATTACTAGTAACAAGAGGAGGGAGTAAGTTAATGGGAGGTGGAGTTCTGACAGGGTTCTAAATAGTGACCGCTGGAGCAGACCACTCTAGAATGGCACATGCGACCAGTCAGTGTGTGGGTTGCATAAGATTCAAGGAGCAGTCGTTGCCTATGGTAAGTGGCCACCTCTACAGACCGGGCAGGACCGATTCTCACAGTCACAGTTACTGCATCGAATGGCACAGCGTAGACAGATGTCACAGGCTACGTGACTCCTACATGCTAGGAACACAGAGGCACATCGACTGCAATTGTAGAGGTGTTGTTGTTCCAGCCCCTGTCTACAAATTGGACATGACATCTTTTTTTTTTTTTTTTTTTTTTTTTTGACATCTCAGGGTGCCATACAAGTGCATTGTAGACTGTCATCATACGTATGACGACAAAAGCTTGCCCAGGTTGTCCCTTCATAATCTTCATGGCATAAGGCATGCGAACCACATGCTAGCTGAATCTCCGGTGGGTCATCACAAAGCGGCATGGAGCAAGTTTCTTGGGTTTCCTCGGTATTTATTCCTTCTCTATGGGTGAGTATTGAAGGTACACACAATAAATGGATTCATAAAAATGTGAAAGTAACAAAAACGTCTGACAAATCACCCATCAGGCAGTTTTTTCTCGAGAAGAAGTCATTTGGAACGACAAAATGAACAACCATAATATTCATCAATCTGTAACTCTGCCATGCTCTTCGCTACGTGGGTCAGTTAGCATCAACTCTCTCTCTCTCTCTCTCTCTCTCTCTCTCTCTCTCTCTCTCTCTCTCTCTCTCTCTCTCTCCCCCCCCCCCCCTCTCTCCAGTGCGTCCGTCCATCCAACTCTGTCTGCCCATTATTCTACTAACGATCAGTGCATGATCTATCATTCTAGGACGAGTACGAGGTGATACAACACAGGGAAGACATACAAGGAAGGAACTTCAGGCATGCGATATCAGCTTTTTCATTGACTGGCGTAACTGACTAAACCGCAGGTGCACCTGGTCAGCTTCATCATTTCCCGTCTCATCACCTTGCACGATGAACATTGAATGGCACGTGAGCAGTGTTCTTTGTTACGCGCCCATCCGCGAGTCTTCCCAAAGATCAACCAAACTACCTGCTCATGATCCCGCCTCGAAACGGTATTGTATTTATTTCTATAATAAAAAAAAGAAAACGAAAAAAGAAAGCTATTTGACAGCAACTACTTCTGAGATCCGTTGAAAAGTACGAGCCCTGAGAGGGGAAGAGCTGCACCATACCATACTACACGACAAGACTTGGTGCAGGACACATGTGGAAGGATAGAGTGTCTAATAACACATAAGAGAGGTGGTTGCAGATGGCTGATTATGTCAAGGATCGAATCCTCCACGAGTGGGTGTTACTTTCTGCAGAACGTGCATAGGAGGAGAGAGCATCAAATAACACACAATATGTGGTTGGCTTGCTGCAGGACGTGGTGTGCGTGGAAGGGAATGGATGGAAGCAGACTTTTGGTTCCGTCGAAGACTGAACGCTGGACGGTTGGCTGATTGTCTACTTTCGTGATTGGCTGGTCGATTGACTGACGCGTTGATTGTGTGCTGCTGCTACAATAGCAATTAGATAGACAAGGCATACTCGGGGCTTTCGAGGATAGTCGATGCTGATATTGCACTTGCTTAACGAATGGCTGATTTATTGATTGTATGTTGTAATGAACTTCCACGTGTACAGAGTTCCACCGTTTACGTTTGCTTGATTAGGGGCTCATTTCAGAGTAAACGAAAGGGAGGGGTATGTCTTTGACGGCTCGGTATTGACCCACATTGTTAATGTGCTCGTTTTCCAGCCTGTAGAAGTTCCAATGACCTCTTCTACAGATCTCCAGCCCAGCAAACAGCAGATTGGTGACATTTTCATGCAGATGCCAGATTGGCAGTCGCAGAATGGATTGAATCCAAGCCAAGCGAAGGATGAGGTTGACGGCCATAGAAACGAAGTACACCCATTTCCTCTTCCAAATCAACTGGTCCCTGAGAGGGAAGTTCTTTGAGCCCCTCTGCAACAACCCCCAGTCCCGGAACAAGTCCCAATAGCTCCCATATGCAGTGGCCAATGCAGCGAAGAAAAGGCCGAGGACGAAGCTTGCGGTTGACCTTGTCTCCAAGTACAGGAGCCTTGTGCCTACCGCCAAACCTGCACACACGTACTTGAGGCAGTTTTGGATATGTACACTCTGCTTCTCGTCCTGCCATCTTCGCACACACTGCATCATGCGGCACCAGAAGGGCAAGAATGCCAGCACAAAGCCTACTCTTCGGAAGTGGATGCTGTTCAGACAAGTCTTGTGGTCCCGGGTTGTGAAGTATCCACCAATGTAGTAGCAGAAGACATATTCGATATCCCACAACAACGGTATCAGACTCGTAAGCTGATCCCCCAGGAAGAAGTCAGCCAACACAACCTTGTAGAATGGTGCACAAATCACATGGTGCAGAGTCCTCAACAGAAACATACGACTTGAACGCCAGAAGAGATTGAATGGCATCACCAGAATGGCCATGAACAGCAAAATGATTGCCGCTGGAATGAATTCTCCGGCAGAGCTGTGGGAAGACTTGTGCGCATAGGCCGCAAGATGGCCTATGAGACCAGCCAGCATGATGACAGACATACCAGTTGCGATCATGAACACCTCTCGGAATCCCAACTCCGTCCCTGGGGTGAAGTCGAAGATGAAAGCATAGTTGATACGAACTGTGTACCATAAGTAAACACAGACGCCGTAGAAGAAGACCTGCAGTTGGATGAGAATCAGGACGCTGAAGACTGGAAACACAGATTCCATGTAACTGCTCCCTCCTACACTATCTTTCTCTCCCACAGCATACATCATGACTCGGAAGGACGCCAGGAGGGCCACAATGCACCCACAAAAAAACCCCAGGAAGAATGTGACAATATGCGATGCCGATTGCGAGATCGGTCTAAGATCTTTCATTGCCCTTCTATGGTCATCTTTTGCAAAGTGTTTTGTGTAGGCGTTCTCCACATTGGCTATCATTTTCGTGACCTTGGTCGAAGTTGTGAAATGCGCGGACTGTTCAATGGCACTCAGATAGGTACGTGATGCCTTCCAGCCGGCGAGTTTGTCATGCTTCTTAAGGATCTTTCCGAATGCGGCCATGTTTAATGAACTGAAGCTCTTCAACAAACACATCCCTCTGTAGAACTCCACCAAAGCTGCTCCTATCACCTTCTCCGCATGTCGGATCCGTCGAGGGTTGTCGTAAACTGTGAAGAATGGTGCTATCTCCAGTGGGTTGATCAAACGAGACAATACTCGAAACGGACTCGCAATGCCTACACGACCTTGGCCTTGGAATGCCCTTGGACGTCTGCAGGTCACAGATGGAGGCACACTCCCCTCAGAGAGGCTAGTTACTCCCTGTCTCTCACCAAATTCGCCACCTCCTCTCATTTCGGATTCTCCTCCCCCTACCCTTTGGTCCCCGTTCTCTACGACTTCCCCTCCTCTCCCTTGCAGCTCATTCGCTAGAACACCTTTCCCTGTATGGTAAGTACCATGGCCTGATGCCACTTGTACACTACGACCATCCCCTCTCACTTGACGCATCTCTGTGCGATCTGAACCCATGGCAGCAGTAGTGTTTGCTATTGTCGCAGAAAACTCTGTTGACGTTGACTCTCCTGAGCTAGCAGCAGCTACTGCAGAAGCTGAAGACCCCCATGATGTATGCTTTTGGCTGCCCGGTGGGCTGGTAGTTGTGTCCCTCTCCCTTGCTGATGCACCAGACCCGCTACTCAAAGCATTGTTCAGAGGGGGCAATTTGGACCCTGTCCTTTTTCTCACTTTGTCGTCTGGTTCTGCCCATCCAGCCCCTCGTCCAGTCCTTAAAGGGGGGCCTTTTGGCAGCGGTTCTCCAGGCGGATGATGGCCTTCACCCTCCGAATAACTCATGTTTGTCTTGCCTGTTGCCTTTGCAATCCGTTGCCCTGATGCATTTGTTACCACTGTTATCTCCTCACTCATGCTGTCCTCCTGTTGCTGAGTACCTCTACCAGAGCTGCTACTCCCCATCTCCGTCTGCAACGTAGGAATACCCACCACACCCCTTGGCCGAACTGTGGAAGGGGCCTCAGCAGCTGGCTTGACAAAACTTGCTGCTTGAGAAGCATCTCCCTTGGTACGTGTGGCAAGGCTGCGTGGCTCTTCAGGTTCTCCTGGCAAGGAGAACAACCCAGAAGATTTCCTTCTCTGCTTCCGCATGCTGCTTGGACCAACCCCACCTCCTTTGTCTCCAACGGAAATGCGGTCCATGTCGCTCTCACTGGCATCAGATACGGTAACCTCAGAGAGTGGCGGTGGTGAATTCGGAGGGAGAACATGCAAGATCGAGGAGCCAACTTCATCCAATTCCTCAAGCATAGCAGCAGCTCCACCACCCCCTTCTGCCGAGCCCTTACCTCTCCCTTCAAGTTGAACTCTTTTATCCCTTGCTCCTTCCTTCTCTTCCTGCTCCTTCTCCACCGGCCTCCCCTCACTCCCATTTATGTTGTGAACCCCTTTCCTTGCACCTGTGCTGCCATCGTCATTGCCATTCTTTTGCCTCCCTTTTCTGTCTTCTTCTGTTTCTCGTCTGGCATTAGATTCAGCCACAGTGGCAGAAGTAGAAGCCCCTTGACGATCACCACCACTCACCTCCTGATCTTCCGTCTCTGGAGGTAAGAGAACTTGAGGGTCACAATAAGTTTGATCTCTCGTACGATGTGCGGTACCACCGTGCTCGTACACCTGAGTAGCGGAAGCATGGTCATCATCATCATCATCCTCTTCCGGGCTATCTCCGTAGTCCGTGTTGGTTCTCATGGATTTCTTCAACTTGACGAGTGCTTGCATCTGTGTCTGCAGCAGCTTGGCATGTTCCAGAAACTCAGCTTCTTTCCTCTTATAGAAATCATTCACCTTGTTTAACTGTTCATCCAGGTGCTGAAAGAAGGCTAATTCTTCTTCCCTTTTCTCCAGCATATTAGGCAGGAGTTCTGTCACAAATCTTGCCTCGCAATCATTGCCAGTCGCCTCACAATGCACCTTGATGCCCTCAAAAGCCTCTTGGGTCGTTGACCTCCTCACATGGGGCTCAAGGAGAAACAGAAGGGGCTGAATTACTGAATCAAGCCGCTTTTCCCTCGGGAACCTTGGTAGAGGATCCGTAGCGATAGTGATCTGCTTCAGTGTCTTCTTTAGTGCTTTGTACTCGCAGTACGCCCCCTTCCATTCTGGCACTAACTGCAATTCCAAAATCTTGGAGAACTTCACCATTCTAACACTCTCCTCAACTCCCTTTTCGCCAAACTCCCTTCTTTATTCCCGGACACCCTGCCTTTCTTACCCCAAAACCTTGTCCGTCCCCTTCCCTCTCCGTGTCCTCCAACCCCCTCGTCACCCCCCTTCCTCAGCCCTCTAGCAGGCAAACTCCCTCCTTTTCTCCACACTCTCAACCCTTCACACCCAACTCCCCTCCCTCCCGTTCCCTTTCCCCTCCTCCCCCCCCCCCGTTCACTCCTCTCCTCCTCTCCAACTGAATGAATAGGAGATATCAACTGTTCTACCAGTGAAGGCGTCAAGGTAGTCCCCACCAATTGAAAAGCTGTCTGCTCACTTCAGCTACTACCCCTAGAAAAGAATCCCTTCACCCGACTGACTCCTTCTGCGTTCTATACTGTTATAACTTATAAGTCTTGTCTCCCTGGTTCTTATTGCTTATCAGCCAATGATAGCCTAAATTTGTACTACCCATAGAAGTTTATAATATCGGCAAATGAGGCAAGATGGCTTGCCCCCCTCCACTCCCCTTGGCCACCCCTTCCACCCCCAACCCTCAAGAAAAGGCTTTGTTGTGATCATAGATCAGCAACCACGGCAAACTCGAAGGACTGCGCCATCCGAAGACCTTCAAACTGTGAGTGAAACTGCCCATCCACCTCCAGCATGTAGCACCCGGTATCTATGACCATCAAACCACTTCAAAGAAGCAATTAGTATCTCTGTCGTCAAGTTAAATACGAGAAAACTACTTTGGTGGTAAACCAAAGCGAGGAATGCGAATAAAAATTCCTCACGACCACAACTGCACACAGTATAGACGTAACCAGAAGTGCTTTAACTCACCCCCCTCAGACTACCATCAGGGTTGAATCCTCCACTTGCAGAAAACTGTACAGCCCCCCAGTGTACTTCAGCTCACAGTACTTGAGATACCATGAGGATTGAATCTTGCTATTGTGAAAACTGCCTGCCATCCATCATGCCTGTTTTCAATTCCCACTGAGCTGAGGTGAAAATTACGCTAGAACAGTCCCGCCAGGCTCTGGAGTGGATGTCAGGGTTTGCCTTGCAAGGTATGTGCTAATCGAGGGCAGATATTGCTTCTATTATACCTCTGAACCAATGCAGAGTGCACAGCAGGCCCAGTGCTGTCCTTGCCTTTTGGCTGGCTTCGTATTGCCCCACTGCAGGCTGTCGGTGTCCCACCCATAGGCCTGGTATAACAGTTGAAGAGTCCTGCTGGATACTGAATTCATGAGTAACCGACACCACAAAAGCGCTGACAGAATTGAGGAGCAATCCTACTTTCTGAAGTGGATCGAGTGTCCTGGCCGGTGGCACTTGAGTTGTCTTCGGCTTGTGGGGTCACTGACGACTGTTTGCTCAGCGAGGTCATCAGCACTAGTCCTCAAGTTATTTGCCACACAATCACGACCGTTGATTACATCAACACACTATGCACTGTATGCAGCATGTGTCTAGCAACCCAACCTGAAAAAGACAGTCCAGAGTTAACCCCACCATGCCTTCTGTGTTGCACAATACAAAACACGCCACTCGAAACACGAAATAGGTAAGGCGTTGCCAAGCAACATCCTGAGCAGTCCCTAGTCAATAATCATCACTGCATAGCATGTGTAAAGGCCCCAACGAACCTGCACCTTGAAAGTACGAACAGCGGTGATCCCCTACATCCCTTATCGGGCAGTCCTACTGTCTTCCCCCGAGTAGAATGTACGGTCATTATATCCATATTCGGGACCAAATTTCAGTCCAAATGCAGTGAAAATGACAGTACGTTCTATTCACTCTAGAAGATAAATTTGACTTGATCAGACTCCGGGACGGGGCTAAAATGTGCAGCTGTATGCCAACTGGCTGCAGCAGTTGCTTCTAGAGACTGGCATACAAAATTCAAAACACAAGGGTGGCCCTTGCCTCAGCCCAAAGGTTATTCCAGCTCAACTAAATTTGGAATGTGGATACCTGGCCCTGGTGGCTGAATGGTACACCCATCTAACTGTCGATAAACAATCCAGAGTTCGAACCCTCTTGAATACAGTAAGGTTAGGGGCTACCCTGATCCAAGAAAACAGAAAAAGCAAACTTTGGAATCTGGACATACGTTGTCCGCAATGACATCCTATATGGATTTAGACACCTTATGCTGCCAGTCCTGGAAGCACGCTTCTTGGCATTATGCTTCCAAGTCAGTCCTTGTGGTCCGCCTTGAAGCAACTCAGGATAAACAACAATACATATTTTGGCCTCATAAAACATTGGGAGATAGATATGTTGCCTTCCGTCTACACTCCATATGAAAGACATGCTACTGTGGGTCAGAACGCTAGACACACGGCGGCTCTTGTCTTGACATTGTATTCCAACTAACTTCATAAGCTGTGTGGAACCCGGCCTGGCATCGACGATACCGTGTGTGGCCAGGTCCTAATGCTCAGCAGTCAGACTGTTGTTTCATCACTCCCTAACAACTCCTGAGGATGACATCCAGCATGGACTACTCTCCAACAAATCTTGAAGATCATAAACGATGGCGATGAACCTGAGGATAGACTCGTCAAAAACAAGAAATTGTGGTACCAAATTTGACAGAAAACTGAGAAAAGAGAATAATTACGGATTCACTGACAGTGACTGCAAGCTTGGCAACCCCTTTGGCAAATGCTCTATATTAGGGTCAAGGTCCACTTGGATGCAGTGCTAGCGGCCTCCACTGGTTTAGAATGGCATACGTAAGTGAGAGTCGGACCAGTCCCTCCTTCTGCTAAGGCTGTAGAGAGAAGCAGTGAGTTCGGCCTAAGGCTGGACCTTCCCATAAACGATGATTGTTTGCCACGATTCCTGGGAATGCAGTGAGTGCCACCTTAAAGACTTTTAGGAAATTTAGAATTCAAAGAGTATTGAATGGCGCATAGAATTACACACTTCAGTAAATCCTCTTCATGACTGGAGGAGAAGCACATTGCAAGCCGTCACTTTCTCACCTCAACAAGGTTCAATCTCAAGCAACCCTTCGCTGTGTTCTGGAATTCAATGCTTCGGGAAATTCTGGAGAGCGCCANAAGCCGTCACTTTCTCACCTCAACAAGGTTCAATCTCAAGCAACCCTTCGCTGTGTTCTGGAATTCAATGCTTCGGGAAATTCTGGAGAGCGCCAGCATGACCAACTAGAGAGGGATGCTCTCCACTCACTGACAAGTGTAGAACTCTGACCCGTAAGCCGTCACTTTCTCACCTCAACAAGGTTCAATCTC